CTCCCCCAACGAGGTCCCCACCAGTGGCTTCATTCACAAAGCACAGAGGCTCCAGGACCGCACACCTAGAACAAGAGGCACACATTAGCTGCATGCAGATGGGCGAACGCCTCTAAACGTTATATTTTTAAAGCATTTTTCTCACCCAGCAGCAGCTCCCAGCTCCTCTGCTGAGTGTGGAGGCATCTGTGGGAAAAGAGGTGGGGAGGCCCCGCTGGGATGCGGGAGGATGCTGCTGGGATGTGGGAGAGCACAGAGCGAGGGGACCAAGGAATTTATTACCAGCCCTGTCTGAGGGTGGATATTCCTGCTCGCCGCCCCCAGTCGCTCTCACAGGACAATCCTCACCTGGGGGTAATTGCCGTGGGCAGGGGATAAGTTTGCACCCACCTATGGGTGCAAGCATCTGGTGCAGAGCAGGAGTGACTCATTGCACCCCAGGCATCCCCCTGCCAGCCCAGCTCCCAGATAGACAAATATAAGAGATTCCCGAGTCCACAGGAGAGCAGACATCTCATTTAAGCAGTTTTGCAATGCTTAAAAACCAGAGAAAGCTGTCAGAAAGCCCAGGGAGTCTCACTCAGCACAGGGTAAAGTCACCGAGCAGAAGGGACTCTCCTGCAGGATGTGTCTCCGTGGGAGCTGTGCCCACTGACATGCAGATATGGGGCAGAAGGTGATTTATTTCTGGGCAGGACACAAAATGCAGCAGCAATTTAAGGGGAAAGAGGGCAGGGACTGATTGAAGTCCCCCATGCAGGGCCATCACCCATCTCCCCAAACCTGCTCAGCCCCGATGGAGGTGCAAAAGCAAGCACCACAACCTCTGCTGAGGGGCTCCGGAGCCCCCACGGATCAGGCAAATTCATCACACCAGTGAGCACCAGTTCTTGCCCCATGACAGCCACACCAGACCCTGCAGAACTCCTGCAGCCCAGACACTTGCTCCTTCGCTTCGGTTTAGGGATGGAAACACGGATGCATGCAGCGTGGCATTAATAACCCCCCGGGAAGCCAGACCCAGTGCTTTTCCTTTCCTTTACCAAATGCTCCCCGGGTCATTACCTGCCTGAACTTGTCTCAAGCAGCTGAAGGTGATGCTGGGGCCACCCAGCTCGGTGCTGTCGGGTGCCCGGAGCCAGGGGACGCAGCGTGGGCAGCAGACGGTGGATCTGGGGGTGCCGGCACCCCACACGGTGCAAGCTGCTGTCAGCAGAGGCTCCCCAGAGGGGAGAGTGGCAGCAGAAGGAGCTGCCAGGGAAGAGCTGGATGCGAGAAGGCCTTTAAAGGAGATGCATGAGAGCAGCTGGGAGCTCCCGGCACACGCAGGGGTGGGCTGAGCACTTCGCAGGTGGTCGGGGATCTCTGCTTTTTGGAGAGGAGAACTGATACCCAGAGCTGGGAGAGACCATGGTGGCTCCCTGTGCCCAGTGGCTGCAGGGCTGAGGCTCAGCATCACCCTGGCAGAAGGCTCGGGGCAGGGTGGTAGCACTGGGGACCCCCTCTGTGCCTTCATGGGGGGCACAGCACTGGGCTAAACCCGGGTGGGTGCTGAGAAGCCCCTGTCGTGTTGTATTTGATGATGCAGGGAAGCTGCTCTGCCCAGGACCCTCATCCAGTGTGGAGAACACAGCACCCCTAGCCCCACTTTCCCCACAGCCATCACCTCCACTGCCCCTTCCCCTGCCCGACCCCTTGGCTCAAATCCATCCCATCCTCTAAAGCTGCTTTCTTCCCCTAATGAGCTTATGGGGAATCAGAGGCGATGTTCAGTGCTGCAGAGGACCAGGATGGTGTCCCCCACAACCTGCTTGGGGACTCTGATGAACCACGAGAAACAAGGCAGGTCCTTGGGGTCTGCAAATCTCCCAGCCCCAGAGCAGGGCTGGCCTGGCCCATCTGAGAGCACAGGATGTGGCCCCAGGGCCAAGGTGGGGTCTAGGGGGGCTGAGGGTCTCCAGTTGCAGCTTTGAAGCTGTGGGATGAGGGTTTGGGAATGGCCACCAGTGATGGACCCCTCCAGGTCAGGAGCTCAAAGGTCCTGGAAGCTTCAGGGATGGGGTTTTCTCTCTTGGGGCAAACGCCTCCTGCTTGGGCCTGCCCCAAAAGCAAAGCTGCTGAGAAATTGTGAGTCATCTTGGGGCAAGAACAGCCCCAAATTCTCGTGCTGTCTTCCCTGGCAACACAAGGTGTGGTATGAATGATTTACACCAATTAATGACAATTAACACATCCTCAATTCACACCACCAGCTCCAGGAAGACGCAGAACTTGCTGAAAGGCAGAATGGCCTTGTCACCCTCTTAATATTTCCTTGAAGATACCTCCCCAGGGATTTCCTCTCTTCTTTTATTTATATATTTTATGATATAGAAAATGGTCGCTTTTATTTCTAATTCTTTATATATTTATATATTTAATCTGTATTATTTATATATTTAATGTGTATCAGTGTAAAATATGTGATAAAGATCATAAATAGAAATACAAAGTATACAATAAAATATATAAAATAAATATGTGTTAATATATAATAGAAAAACAAAATAAATAAGATATAAATAAAATATAAATTAAATTAAATATAATTTAAATATGTAAAATAAAAATATAAAATGAAGAATTTATAAATATAAGTATAAATAGAAATAGAAATAAACAAATATAAGTATATAACTGAGTGCTTTTTCTAGCAAAGCACACAGAAGGTGCAAAACCCAGGGGATGGAGGACGGACACATCAACACAGCCCGGTCCTGCTGGTCCCAGCCCCACAGAGCCCCTGTTTTGTCCCCATAGGGGCAGCACATCAGGCTCCGGAGCCCCTGCTCTGGTGTCCCGACAGGGCCATGGCCACAGCTCCACTGGGGACACAGCCCTAAGGCCACCGTGGTGTTGGTTCCCCACACCAGGACAGGGCTTTTCTCCTCAAAACTCCTCTGTTCCCTCCCACACACACGTGCTGAGGGGTTCAGCAAAACGCACTGCCCCTCTTTGCAAACTGAACCGTTCAAAGGGCCTCTAAAAGCACCCAGGGGTTTTGATGCATCCTTATTTTTAACCTCGGAGTACAACCTGGGTTTCATAGGACCTCAAATAAGCAGAACCAGCCCCGCTCCCCATGCACAGACCTGTTCGGGGGGGTGACCAAGATGCTGGGACATCTCTGGCCTTGCCCCTCGTGTTCCCTTCCAGCGAGGTCCCTCCAGTGCCCTACGGCGATGGCATCGTCCCAGGGCTCCTCCTGAGGCTGAACTCACAGCTCAGACCGCGGTCATCTGGATTATCTGCTGCTGGGAGGAAAAGCTGCTCACGCCAACACCGGCTGACACGGCAAATGTGATTTATTAGGTCTGTGCAGGGGGCCCAAGCATAAAGCAACACTCTAGCCCCCTAAAATTCATCTTCGTGTGGCCATGGTCTGCCCAGCTGACAGGGATAGGAAAACACGGGTTTCTTATTATGATTGAAAGGTTGTTGGCAAAAAACCCCACACAGATAAGGAGGGGTTTTGCTACTTTTGGTTCAGGTTTGAACTCCAGGTTGGCAAAACAGGACTGTGAGCAGTTCAGCCTCACATCTGGGTGTCCCAGCCACCAGATTGCAACGCAAAACTGCGTCAGCAACACATGTGTGTGACTACCGGGTTGTCACTGGGACTCAGGGTGACAGCATCTGCTCCCAGAATTGCTGCAGGAGGGGACTGGCCATGCCAGCAGCTCCCTTTTGGAAATGGGCATGGATATAGATAATTTCCAGGAAAACAGCTGAGTTTCAGCCCTTTCCAACAAGGTGTTACATGGCCCAGGGCAGCCTGGCTCTGATCTTTGGCATTTAACACCTGTGGGTGCAGCGTTCGCACACCTCTGCCCATCCAAAAGAGCTTCTCTGCTGTCCCATCACAGCACCAGGGTGCTACTTGTGGAGTGGAGGGAGCCTCTGGTGATGAAACTGCTTCAGAAATCACCCTGGGAGGATGGGGAAGCAGCAGAGTGGACAAATAACCCGTGCAATTGCATAATATTAATTTCCTTAAAAAAAAACCCACAAAGCTATTAGGCCAAGAAAGGGAATTCCCCTCCCTCAGTACCACGAAGGAGGTAAACCTCTACAAACAGAGGAGGAAGCAGATGAGGAACTACTGCCAAACATCGCATGGGAATTGGCTGAAAATTATACACTGCCTTTTACGTACAGCCTAGGAAACCTCCAAAACAAAGCTGTGGACCTTTCACTTCACTGCTCCTAAATCAGGACAAGGACAAACCCAACCCAAACTCCCTCCCCTCCTAGATAAGGTTGTGCTGATGCTTCATGCACATCCACCTCTTTGCAGTGCTCAGGCTGCATTGCCAAGCTCTTGAGAGGGTCAAGAGGAGGCAAAAGAGAAGTTTTCCATGCGGGTGCTACCAACCACCACATAAATAAGCAATTTTCCCCCAGCACGTCCAGCGTCTCCAGGGTTTGCTTCCTAACATGGCTGTTATCTCACACATACACCCCACAGTACATGATAAGCTGCAGCCAAGAGCAAAACCAGGGCTAAGAAGTCTCTTTCTAGACACCAGCATAATATTTCCTAAGAGAACAGGAATCCCCTTGTGGTTTTCAAAGCCTACTGTTTTGACTACTGCTCCTTGCAAAAACCACGTAGGCTGGCGCAAAATGCAGCTCCCAGTATCTCCAGTTACGAAACCCAACATCCACTGGGGAGGAGATGCACACCATGGCCAGATTTCAAACCATTTCTTGCTGCCCGGTCCATAGAGACACCAGGGCTTCCCCACGATGCTCTGGATGTACACACTTCTTTAAAGACACCGGGAAGCTGATGACCAGGTGAATTTTAGAGAGGGGTTTGTCCTCGGTCACCTTCATGTGACCAACAGCCACTGAGGACAATGACACCGAGGTCACTTGGTAGAAGCTCTGAACTGTAAAGACCACAGCTTGCTACCTAATAAAGCCAGAGCAGCAGGCTCGGACCTTGACAATCTAGGCACAATTTCTATTTATGTCACATTTTGGGCAGCACTACAATAGCTTCAATATACTCAGCCATTAACTCGCTGGTATGCAAACAATTTGGCTCCCTGGAGGTTTCTTTCCTCCAGCTAATGTAGACTTTGAAGCCTCATCAGTCCCCTGTCACCGAAAATAGCTGGAGATATTCTTACTATAATGAAATCCATGCTCTCCGCGTTAAGAGCATCACTTATTGCTCCAGGGTTTCATTCCTCTGGCTGGCTCTAATGAGCAAACTGGAAGCAGTAACATGTCACACCTCTGTGCTTTCATCCCTCTTCTTCCTTTGCTGATGTAAATGTTTATGAATTTTTAAATAGCACCCGATATGTGCGATGCTTCAAAACCTCCATTAAAGCTCTAGTGCTGCTTCCCCTCAGAGCCCATCCACCCTCTCCCATCCTTATCTTTCCAGTTCCCCAGCAAGGAAGTGCCCAGATGAGGTTTCCAGGATAAAAATTTGGGAACAGTCATGCTATTGCAACACTTTATTAGTGTATTACTAAAACCTTGCAATGGGAAGTGTCATCATTGCCACACTGAACACCATAAACGTGACACACACAGCAGAGTCCCTTCCTCACCTTAGCAAATCAGATTTTTTAAAAAAAAATAGGCAGATTTAAAGCAGAAATTCAAGTCTACCAGTTCTTCACCTAAACCCCACTTTCTTATATGCTCAGATTTGCAAATCCCAGCAGACCAGATAAACAGCCTAGCAGATCATCGCGGCCCTGTTGGTCCAGTTTTAACCAGGAAATAGATGTAGATTGATTAAAACAAGTAAGGACGCTTGCAACACAGGCTGATGGGACACGTGGATGCTCAATCAAGCTCTTCCCAGATTTACAAAGTTATGGGAGATGCTGGTGCAGGGCAGGAGACACCGCAACATCCAGCATACACATCAAGCTAAAGGGGATGTGAAAACAGAAGGGATTCTGCTTCTCCTGCAGCTTCTCATGGCCTGGTTGGGTAATGTGGGACCTGCTCGATGAAAACCCCTTTTTTTTTTTTAAAAGGAAACATGCAGGGAAAATGGGCAACATTTCCTCTGAGGGAAAACAGCAGCCAGCCTTGGGTCAAGCATGGCCACAGCATCTTTCAGGAGCGGAAAAGTGTGGCAACATTACTCCATTGATAATGCAAAAATAAAAGTTTTCTTTCTTTACCAATTTAAAAAAGCCACCATTTGGGCACAAAACATCTCCAGAAAAGCCACCTTAAAGCAATGATACCACTCCAGGTGAAGCACAGCCCGGCCACCCCTCACATCCATGAGGCCCAGTGCTGATGTGGGGCACCCCAAGGCTTTGTGGTGCCCACATCACAGTACGGACACTGGGAGAGGAGAGACACTGCTCTGAGACATCCCACAGCTCGGGTCCTCCACAGCTCCTCTTGTGCCACCATCTTGGAAGAGGTGGGGAGGGAGCCGCCATCTTGAGCGCGGCAGGGCGGGAAGGCAGGGGGTGCCATCTTGAGTATGGCAAGGCACCCATGGTGAAGCAGCCCAGAGACAGACCAGACAGAGAGATGACTGCAAATATATTCATTATTTAACCAAGGAAACCTTCATCTTGGGTTGTGTGGGGCCAGAATGGCATCGCCCATTGACAGCACACCCCAAACCGGGTTGGGTGAGGCTGCAAGGCCCCAGGCAGAGGCACGGGCGCTCCATGTACCCACAGCCCACGCTCGCTGGGTCTCCATCGTGTTGGCAGTGAACTCCAGTGAGGACTGGACTGCAGCTACCACCCATAGTGAGCATCCTCTACCCATGGAAGTCATCACCCTGTGGTTCCCTTTGGTGCTCACCTGGAAGGAGAAGGAAGAAAGAGGAGAGAAATCAAGGAAAGGGAAAACCACCACCAGCCACACTCTGCCATGGCTTTCCTACCATTTCGGATAGACTGGGAGCACAAATGCTGCTGTCCCCTATGAGAGGGACTCCATCCCATTCTGGAACATCTGTCTCACCTGGCTTCTTCCAGCACAGCCTGCAGCGATTTCTTCAGAGCCGCGTTGCTGCGATCCAGAGCGGCTGCCAAACGGCTGCGGTGCGCTGGGGTGACCTGGGACGGAGAGAAACAAGGAGCTGAGAGACCTGCACTGCCACGAGCCCACCCGAAACCCCTGGGCCAGGTCCAGCCCCAGCAGCTGATCTGCAAGGACCCACACCAGGTCTCACTCACCTGGCTTTGGTACATGGTGAGCATGGCCATCACCAGCTTGGCGTAATCCAGCGACGTGGCCAAGGCTGGAGCCTGCCTGCACAGCGTCAGGACCAGCAGATCGAAGAGCTCGGAGGGCAGCACCTCCTGGAAGAGAACCATGAGCGGAGAGGGGAGCTGCTCCCTGCTCCAGCGCTGGCAAGGAAAGCTGGAGGGACAAGGGGGGTGTCCCCTCACCTGCCGCCCCAGCACGGCCTGCAGCACCGGCAGGAGCTTCTCTGACAAAGGCAGCTCCAGGACTTGGCTGCAAGGGATGGGAAGAGGAGATGTGATGCTCGCAGGGCCTCGCTGCTGCTCCTGATGGAGCCATCGAGGCAGGCGTGGGGGCTGAAGCAGAGCTGTCGCCCCTGCAATCCCTCACCTCAGCACCAGCCGCACATAGTCTGGCTCCAGGCACTCTTCCACAAGTTCACACAGCAGCTTGGTCTGCTCAGCGCCTACACGGGCAAAGCAGAAGAGGAAGAGCCTCCAGAGGCTGCCAAATCCATGAGGATGTGCCTGACCCTTGCTGGCACCCCTTCAACACAGGGGTGCACCCCAGTTGGGACACCCAAAAACCACATAGTGCCCCCTTCTACTCTCCAGGATAACCCAGCTTCCTTCACCCATCTGCAGCAAGGGTTTAATTAAGCCCAAAAGGTTTAATTACCAGTCCCTAGTGAAAGGGGATGCACACAGGACCTTCTTGTGCCAGCAGAGCCACCTTGGCGCAGTTTTGGCCCCAGCATTAGGAGCTGTCAGGAATCCACAGTTTCAGAGGGATAGAAGCTGTGTCCCTTGGGGGAAGCGATGCTGGAAGCCAGCCTGGCCTCCTCTCCCTCTCAGTCATCCCTAAACCTATCTCCCATCCTAACTCCCAAGCCTTCACCCACCCAGATTAAACCAGCACCATCACATTTTTGGTGGTAAATACCCCCCAGCAGACAGCACTCTGCAGCTGGGGCTTCCTTTCCTGCTGGATGCACCCCACGGCCCCTCTCCAACTGCTCCCAAAAGCCGCCGTGCATCCTACAACCCCACCACACCTTCCCCCGGCTCCCGCAGCACCGCAGCCACCAGGACACGACAGAAAGGCTGGGAATACTTGGAGCAAAAGGAAGCCAGGGCAGCCATGAGGTGGCGGGAGGGCGGCTGGGCGAGGGACAGCACCTATGGACGGAAGAGGCAGGAGATGGGGATGGCAGTGATGGAAATGGGGGTGCAGGAAACCTCTGGCCACGCACTTACTCGCTGGAGGAAGAGCTGCTCTGCCAGCACGGCCGCGTTGGTGTAGCTGAGGTTGGGGCTGAGAGCCAGGAGCCAGCTGCAGAAACGCACCAGGAGATGCTCAGGACACGTGGAGAGCTGGAGGAAGGAGCACAGCCCCTCGAGCTGGGGACAGCAGAGGGCACAGGGACGTTAGGGACAGCAGCAGGCCCTCTGCGACACCGGTGGGTGCAGCAAAGACACTGGGACTCACCTGGGCAGCAGAGCAGTTGTTCAGGATCTGCAGCTCAGGGGGGAGACTCAGCTCCAAATGCTGCAAGGAAACACGGTCCCAAATAAAGCAACCCACAAAACACAGCTCCGGGGCTTTTCGCTTCCCTATCATCCCCCTTTCGGCCAGCACGGACCCCAAAAGCTGCCCATCACACAGCAGATCCCTCCCTCCCTCCCAATGACCCCATCGTGAGCCCCTCAGCACCACCAGCTCCAGGAGGGACCCAGAAGCAGCCACTTACGCTGGGCTCCCTCTGCAGCAGCATTTTCAGCCGTGGTCCATGCACCTGGGGAAGAGGTGGTGAAGGAAGAGAAGTCAGAGCACGAAGGCTCGTGCTCTGGAAAGGGAAAAAATGGCAAACCCCACCCCATACCTGGAGGAAGGACTGGACCTCTGCTGCCAGCTCTGCCTGTGACATCTTCCTGGGCTCCCTGGCTGCATCCTGGGAGCTTTCTGAAGCAGCTCTGGCCACGCTCTGAGCAGATCCATCCCCATCCTTGGAGCTCTCTGGAGCAGCTCTGGCCACGCTCTGAGCAGATCCATCCCCTAAAGCATCCCCAGGCACCTCCTCTTCCACCTCTGCTGCATCCCCCCCATCCTGGGTTCCCAGGGGGTCAAACGCCCCCTCCTCCAGCAGTGGCCTCTTCCGTTCTCTCCCCTCATCCAACTCCAGGCTCTCCTCTGACGCTTTCTTGCGCTTCACACCTTGAGGCGCAGGCTCAGCCGCACTCCCAGTGGCACCAGTCTGCTTGCTGAAGCACCAGTTCAGTTTCCTCTGCCGCTCTGCTTTGTTCTGGGTGATTTTCCGGCACAGACACCGAAGCTGCTCCTGGCACGCAAGAGATAACGGAGCGGGAGGCGGCGAGGACTCCTCTTCCCTGCGTTGCTGCCGGAGGAGATCCCGCAGCGCCCGCACCCAGGGATCCACGAGGGAATCCTGCCCCACAGCCTGGAGCAGCCGGCTGAGACATCCCGCTGGCACCATGGCTTGAACCGCCAGGAGCAGGGAGA